ACTACAATTGAATAGTATTAGCAAAAAAAATTATTACTATTATTGTTATTTATAAAATGCCAACATATTCAGCAGCACTGTACAACTGAGGAAAAACAGTACAATATACACAGACCCTTATAAAAAGGCCCTGCCCGTGAGTTAAGACCTAGTCACTGAAGCTCCTTTTTACAAAGTGCAAAGTCCATGATCTTATCATCTAAAGGTTAAAATGGTTAGTTGAGACAAGAGGTAGCAGGAGGAATATGTAGGTGATGGCCGGAGAGAATAGAAGGATAATTGCAGCTGCTGTAATATGTAAAGGACATGAGGAGGTAAATGAGTGAGATTTTAGTCAGCTGGAGAAGCATGTTATAAGGTTAGAAATAATTATTTTGGGCATCAAAATTTTCAGGATGACTGTATAGCGGTTCCGCTCATGAGGATTTCGGTAATGAAAATTGGATTCAGGAAAACAGACAAATCAAAAGAGTGTGAAAATTGGACAATCAGTGAACTGAAAAATATATACATAATATAAATATTATGTATATATTTGGCATTACCCTGATAAGAGCAGTAAAAACATCTATATGTATATAGTACATAACGCCTCCTTTTCCCCTCTTTTGGTCACTTCTCACTTGATCTGTGAATAAAATCAGAAAAAGCAGAGAGCTCCTGGGTAAACCATTAAGTAGGTAAACTCTTTAACAATAATGAGTAACCCCAAAATAAATTTTATAATTAAAACATCACTTTTAATATGTTAATTGAATTCCCATAGACTAAAAAAACAAATAAGAGGTAAAATAAAATGGTAGGACAAAAAGAATCCTAAACTATAGATTAACCCATAGAGGACTATATTACGTCCGTTCAATTAGCAATCGGTCTAGCCCTAAATTGTGTGAAAAAACATATGCATAAATACCCAAGACTAGGGTTGAGCGAACCTGGACTGTAAAGTTCGGGCTTCGTACCGAACATTAGGTTTTTTGGACCCCAGACCCGAACACGGACATATCACTGTATGTTCAGGTTGGAGTTCGGTGTTCGCGATTCAATGGCGCGTTTTGAAAGGCTGCAGGGCAGCCAATCAACAAGCGTTTGACTCGTGTGCCCTTAAACCATCACAGCCATGCCTACTAATGGCATGGCTGTGATTGGCCAGTGAAGCATGTGACCCAGCCTCTATATATAAGCTGGAGTCGCATAGCGCCGCACGCACATGAGGTCTTATTAGTGTAGAGAAAGGATGCTGCCGCTGATAGGGACAGCTTAGGAAAGAATTCTGCAAACTAGTACATTAGTGGGGTGGGGTGCACTTCATATCTGAAAGTCAAATAGAAGTTTCAAATACCGCGGTTAAATCAAAGTTTTAAAAAGTAACTTTTTTGGGTGCTAAATAGTACATTAGTGGGATAGTACATTAGTGGGGTGCACTTCATATCTGAGCGTCAAACAGAATCGTCAAATACTGCTGTCATATTGCAATTTTAAAACTTGATTTTTTTTTGGGTGCTAAAAAGTACATTAGTGGGGTGCACTTCATATCTGAGAGTCAAATAGAAGCGTCAAATACTGCTGTCACATTGCAGTTTTAAAACTAAAAATGATGTGGGTGCCAAACTGCTAAATAGTATTTTAGTGGGGTGCACTTCATATATGAGAGTCAAATCGAAGCGTCTAATAGTGTGCTTACAGCACAGTGGTAAAAATTCTAATTTTCTGGGTGCTAGTCTGCTAAATAGCAAATTTTGGGGCGTGCACTTCATATCTGAGAGTCAAATTGAAGCGTCTAATAATGTGCTTACAGCGCAGTTGTAAAAATTATAATTGTTTTGCTGCTAATCTGCTAAATAGTACATTTTGGGGCATGCTCTTCATATCTGAGAGTCAAATAGAAGCATCTAATAGTGTGCTTGCAGTGCAGTGGTAAAAATTCAAATTTTCTGGGTGCTAATCTGCTAAATAGTACATTTTGGGGCATGCTCTTCATATCTGAGAGTCAAATAGAAGCATCTAATAGTGTGCTTACAGCGCAGTTGTAAAAATTCTAATTGTTTTGCTGCTAATCTGCTAAATAGTATATTTTGCGGCCTGCGGTGCACTTCATATCTGAGAGTCAAATAGAAGCGTCTAATAGTGTGCTCATAGCACAGTTGTAAAAATTTAAATTTTCTGGGTGCTAATCTGCTAAATAGTACATTTTGGGGCGTGCACTTCATATCTGAGAGTCAAATAGAAGCGTCTAATAGTGTGCTTACAGCGCAGTTGTAAAAATTCTAATTGTTTTGCTGCTGATCTGCTAAATAGTACATTTTGGGGCATGCTCTTCATATCTGAGAGTCAAATAGAAGCGTCTAATAGTGTGCTTATCACGCAGTTGTAAAAATTCTTATTTTCTGGGTGCTAATCTGCTAAATAGTACATTTTGGGGCCTGCTCTTCATATCTACAAGTCATGCTACAACAAAATTAAACCAGTTTTAAAATATGTATGGGCCAACCAGTGGCTGTAAAAACAAAGTTTTAATGGTTACATTCTTGACTTCACAGGACCTTCATGTATTGTGTTCTTTTTTTAAAAATCATACAGCATCCTTTCATGTGCTTTTCAGATGCATTTTGTGAATTAACAATTTTTGTGTAGCCTGATTTTTTTTTTTTTAAAGTGTTATCATATACAGAAGCATTAATATACATTTCTATATTGTGTAAAGACACAACTACAAAGTTAAAAGCCAAACACCAAAACAACGTGCCAGACAATCTACCTGTGCATGGCTAGTGTCAGTGGCGTACACACAACCCACGGGGCCCAGGGTGCGAAAACTGATCCATGCCCCCCCGCCCTCCCCACGTGGGCCGGGCCGCAACACATGGCGGTGGGCACCTGGTCACAGGGGTCGCAGGGCTGCGACCACGCTATGTACGCCAGTGCATGCAGATACACATACACTTAAAGGACCACTACAGACACCCAGATCACATCAGCTCAATGAAGTGGTCTGGGTGCCAGGTTCCTCTAGTTTTAACCCTGTAGCTGAAAACATAGTGAACACACTCTTGCCGCGCATGCACATTTTGAGCTGAGAGGCGGATCGGGGCAGCGGGATCCCCAGCGCCAAGTGAGTCTGGTGCTGGAGAAAGGTAAGTGCTGAAGACACACACACACACACTCTCACAAACAGATGCATACACACTAGCTAACAGACACACACATTTAATGACAGACACACACTCAGTGACAGACACACTTATACACTCACTGACAGACACATACACACTCACTTACAAAACACACACTCACTAACAGACACCAAACAGATTCACTAACAGACACCAAACAGACTCACTAACAGATGCACACAAACTAACACACTCAGTAACATACTCACTGACACACACAAACTAACACACTCACTGACACACACAAACTAACACACACACTGACACAAAAATGAACACTAACACACACACACACACATTCTAATACTAACACACACACTCTAATACTAACACACACACATATGGTTTTTTAAAAATGTAATCCCCAGCCTCCCTACCTTTGGGATTGCTGAGGGGATTCCCTGGGGTCCAGTGGTGTTGCTGGTCACCGGGCTGGCTGTCGGGTGGGCGTGTGAGGGAGCACTCTCCCCTGAGTGCTCCCTGTTCAACTCCCTCGCGCACCGCGTACTGATGCTGGAGCCGGAATATGATGTCATATTCCGGCTCCGGCATCAGTGCGGTGCGCGAGGGAGCTGGGCAGAGAGCACTGTGACACCAGGGCCAGCCTCGGGGGCGCTGATGTGGCCGGCTACTGGGCACCCAGGAGAAGAGGCTTGCCACTCTGGGTACATACCGGTCGCAGTCGCGACCTCTGCGACCCTGGTATGTACGCCACTGGCTAGTGTGATACAATAAGTCAACATCTTAAAAATGCAATAACCCACAGAAGATGGGCGAGAATTTTTTTTGCAAATGGAACTTTGATTCGAATTTATTACATCGGTCACTTGTAATATTGTTTCACACCTACAACACTTGTTACACAGATCTAAGTGATAGAAAACAGATTGATATTTTCTACACTAGAAACTACCAGATAACAAGCTGCTAGATTTAAACCAGTTATCAATAGCTAAGAGGTACATAAACAATATTGTAATTCTGGGGCAATACCCTCACAAGTCAAACTGAGAGGTCAGTTCATAGGGAAAACTGTTGCCTGAATACAATTCTAAAACAATTTCCATATGTCCTTTGCAGACTTTACATGCTGGAAAAACACAGGTGCCAACTGCTGTGGCTTTCTGCAGTGTGCATACCGGCAAGGAGGGCAGGGTTGAGAAGTGGGTGGAAGATGATGTGGAGGATGATGAGGTCCTAGACCCCACATGGAATCAAGGTCATGCGAGTGACGTGTGCAGTTTGGAGGAAGAGGCGCTGGTCGCACAGAGGCACCAGCACAGCATAAGAGGGAGCAGGGTGCAAAAGTGGAGCGGCCATCCCCTAGCGCTCCTCGGCATGTATTAGCTCGAGAATTACCAGTTATCCAAGTAATACATGTAGCAATCAAAGGATCCATAATAGAGTTGAGCGAACCCGAACTGCAAAGTTCAGGTTCATACCAGATCTAACGATCCATTCACAGATTCACATTTAGCTGGGCAGTCCGGTGAATAGGACCCAGACACTGTCTGGGCAGCGGTCGGACGACCGGGACCCAGTATGCCTAATGTTGAAGTTAGGAGTCACAGTGTGGAATTGATTAGCAGGGTCTGGTGCAGGGTAACCACACGCCCCCTGGTGTTGAGCACCAACATTTGTGTGGCCACATACCAGGACCCTGATGCAGCTTCAGTAAAAAGAGTACTGGATACCAGAAGCCATCACCAGACTGATCCGCAACTTGGAACAGGATGTGACATTCACTGTAGCGTTCTCACCCTGCTGCTGCTCGCCTGTCTGCGCTGCAGCGGAACTTCGGCCTTCCCGCTCACCGCCTCATGATACTGTGGAGACTTCCCTCCAATTGATCAGAGTTAAAGGATTTCAAGTGGACTCATTACAATTACAGGGCCCCTAAAGAGTCCTGTATTGTTATTTGTTGTCACTACCTTCCCGCGTCGGGAGTGGGTAATTGCACGCCTACTGCCTTCCTTACATGTGGTAGCCGTTTCTCAGGGTCCCTGTGCGGAATGGAACCCTGATTCCCCATTACCTGTGGTCACCATGGTAGGCACAGAAACTGGCATCGAAAGTTGAAATGGATAACATCCAAATGCAAATTCACCTTCACGGGGATGTGCGATTGGCCTGAGGTTCTCTAGAGTCAACAAAGTCACTGCTCAACTATAATGTCAACAGCTACTTTGAGGAACAGAGTTGTCTTTTTTATATGTCCCAATATTTTGGGGGCTATCCCAATTAAAAAAAAATTAAAAAATTATATATATATATATATATATATATATATATATATATATATATAAAAATACAAAAAATACAAAACAGTGTTGGCTACCTCATCCTCCTCCTCAACTATGTACACATTAGCAGAGGCTTGTGAAGGCCTTTTATCCATGCATCAGGAGTTGTTATTGACACACTAATCATGGTAAAGGTGGCCTCTTCTACATATGAGAGGAACAAAAAGATACATATAAATAACTAGCCTTTACTAGGTTAGGAATGGATGAATGGGGTAAAATTAAACTCCTCGTTCAATCCTTTGGGGAACAAGGTTTGAAATGTATAAATCCAGCATGACTCTGCCTTTAATAACAGGAGATTAATATTTCCTTTGCGGTAATTAAGTTGTAGTTTCTGTATAACTTGGAATTTCAGGACTTGAGGGTCATTGTTATGGTTTAAGTCTCACATGCCTTGCCACCGGAGTGTCCACATTAGGATTTGAAATGGAATTTACATGTTGTAAAACTCTACGTCGCAATTGCTGGTACGTCTTGCCTATGTATTGAAGGTCACACGTACACGTGATGAGATATATAACATCAGTAGAGCTACAGTTCACAAATGTATTGATAGTAATTTGTGGGGGTGATATATTCGCAGGCTTTACAATGCCCACATTTGTAAAGACCCTTGGTAGGTTGAAGCCAAGTTGTGGATACTCGTGGTGGTTCGAGATGACTGTGAGTCAACAGGTCTCTAAGATTTGAGGCCTTTCGGAATGAGGGACGTGCTAATATGGTGTCATTGAGAAGTGCATCATGTTGTAAGATTGTCCAATTTCTGGGAAAAACTTTTTCTGCCATTTCCCAGCAGTAAAAAAATTTCACTCAGTTTGTGAATAAAATCAGTACTCAGTGACTTTGCCATGACATTCAATCACCTTTTTTTTTTCAATCAATCTCTTTTTTTGGTGTCATTGGCAGAATTCAGAATCCCAAAACAAAACAAGCGCTTTGGTTGGTTAGTCAGGGGAAAATAAAGAAAAGTGATAAAACTAAACTTTTATTGAATGAATCCTTTTAAGGTTGGACACTGTAATAAATGCTGTTCATAAACTCTTTTAGTTTTAAACTGAGTAGAGTATAAAAATGTGAATCCTTAATCACAATGATTTGTCAGTTTCCTATACTTTTCTAATTTGTCAGTGGTGCTTCCATATATATTGTCATGGTTTACTTTACATGGTGACCCACAAAGTCCACTTGAATAATAGTATGATTGATGAAAACTAAATGGAGGCTTACGTTATATTATACTTGCCTTAACAGCTCACACTAAAGGGCAGAAAATGTAAAGAATTTAGGGGTTGATCTTGGGGGCAGAAAAATCATAACCTTCCATTCAACAAAATTGAAAACATCGTCATCTATAGGTATTATTGTACTGTGAATAAACATGAGGTAAGTCCAACTCTCTCTTCACAACAGTCCCTAAACAAACTATTCTGTTCTCCAACCATCATTACTGGTGTCACTCTAATGGATTTGGAGTTAACTCATTTCCACCACTTTGACTTCATGTTCTGGGAACAGTTCATGACATGCTCTGCAACATTTGAATAAATTGTTTTACATTTAAATAAAAGTGTATATACTTGCAAGTGATTCCTGGCCTAGTATTCTCCATCTTGAATTGGAAGTAAAGGGGACTTTGCCACTCCATATTTAGCAATTGGCCTACAAGGTGTTCATGGGATGTAGGTAAAGGTATTAACTCAATAATTATGATTACATATTTTATTGTAATATTACACTAGTTCTCCATGTATTTTATCTACTTTATGCACTTTGTTAGTAAAACTGAATTGTCAGCATAAGAGGTAGAGTTGCTGCCAACAAGGCACTGAATCTTTTACGTTCAGTTCCATAATGTGCAAAAGGCTTTGTAAATTGTACGCATATTTGATTTCCACATATTTTATTTCAGCAACAAACAATTACATCAGTAATGTTAGTGTCAATGTTTCAGTCCAACAGGACTTCTATCAAGACAAATAAACACTGATACAGCCAGGGAATTTGGACCTGTCTTCCACACCTGCACTTTACATTTCAGTGCTATTTTATGGACTTGTATAGCCATTAGGCTATTGGACTCTGCTTCTATTAATTTTTGTTGCTTTTAAGAGCAGTCCTAATGTTTTTACAGTATGTTTTATATATGCAATAAATATATATTTTTTAATATTAACCCACTTCTCTACAATTGTTGTTCCTGAGACTTCCAGAACGACTAGAAGAAGGACAGGGACGTCCTAATTAATAGTCCCACTGCACCACTCATGGGAGCCATATGATTTAATTTGGCTCCTGGCTTGATTTAATTTGGCTCCTGATCTCTACCATCTTCCTATTTATTAACATATTTACTGTATTACGCTATATGGTTCTGTTTTTATTTTAGGGATTTTAAGAAGTGTGATCCACCATTGTATCTATTCTATACTGATACATGAACCATTCAAATATGCAATACTGAAGTGTTCATTCGAGGGTGGAAAAAGTGAAAACGAGACTAAGTGATGTCATAACTGACGTGTCTCTTTTCAAAAAACGTCATCAGTGCAATTAACCCAATACTCCGCGAGAGTTGGTAACTAAGTATAGAAAAGAGCAAATAAAGTACAGAATATATATATATATATATATATATATATATATATATAGATAGATATATTTACATCTATTTACACAATATAAGGATGGTTGTTGGGGTACTGTCAGGACACTCTCGAAAAGCTTTTTTTCACATAGTGAATGACAGAGCAATTTCAATGTTATATCAAAATTATATCAATTATTCATGAGCACTTGTTAAGCCATATAACCTCATCAACCTAGGAGTATACCTCCCAACACCAAGAACTTTTCCTACTATGTACCAGTTAGTAATAAGGAATTGATAAATACAAGAGATGAAACACCAAGTGATCACAATGCCAATGCGATATGTAACAGCATACATGAGTTAAAGAAGCACTATATGGTCAGGAACACAAACATGTATTCCTGACCCTATAGTGTTACAACCCCCATCTAGCCCCCATACCCCTCTTGCCTCCCTAAAAATATAGTAAATCTTTCTTGTATTCAAGCCTGAAGTTGCTGGCTTTGTGCCTGTTTCCTTTTGACCTGCCCATTGCCTGCTGACATCAGCAGAAGTGGTAGCCTGATCCAATCACAATGCTTCCCTATAGGATTGGCTGAGACTGACAAAGAGGCAGATCAGGGGCAGAGCCAGCATGAATCAAACACAGCCCTGGCCAATCAGCATCTCCTCATAGAGATGAATTGAATCAATGAATTTCTATGAGGAAAGTTCAGTGTCTGCATGCAGATGGAGGAGACACTGGATGTTTGGATGTATTGTAGGCAGCCCAGGGAGGATCTCTAACAGCTATCTGAGGAGTGGCCAGTGAAGTTATCACTAGGCTGTAATGTAAACACTGCATTTTCTCTGAAAAGACAGTGTTTACAGCAAAAAGCCTGAAGGTAATGATTCTACTCACCAGAACAAATTCATTAAGCTGTAGTTGTTCTGGTGACTATAGTGTCCCTTTAACTTCAGGTAAATACTGGCTATATTTGTATCAAAACATACAACAACTGGGGGGTGTGCCATGGAGCTCACATGTAGCCGGAGCTCCGCGCTGCTAAGGCCATAACTAACGACAAACAGTGACCTGATTCAGGGGCAAACCACAATTTCAACATGTCCCAGCCTAAATAACGTCACCAGACAAAAAGAGGCGACAAAGCCAACTTGTTTGGGGTGAAAGCGAGCCATGCACAAGGTCTCACTCAACACGAAGAGAGCCAAGATGGTGGTGAGGAAGACCCCAATCCACCCCCAGAGCCAGTGGCGGCTGACTTACCTGTTACACAGGAGATCTTACAAACTCTGCTAGACACAATGGCGGACAAGCTCCAACTTACGTTCAAGAACTTCCCTGAAAGCCTACGCTCCAATATCAGAGAGCTGGGGGACGGAACATCCTCAATCAAGGACAAGATGGTGGAACACGAGGAGGCCCACAACACCATGACGGTACGACTGGAAGGTCTTGTGGAACGAATAGAAGCACAAGAGGGGAAAATAGCAGACATGAAGGACAGAGGTAGGCGAAACAACCTCTGCATCAGAGGCATCGCTGAAATCATAGGTCCGACAGACCTCACAGCCTACCTGGTGGGGATGTTTAAGGCACCCCAGACATGCCCCAAGATATGTTCCTCATGAACCGGATGCATAGAGTATCATATCCCTCCTTCCTGCCAACAGAGACCCCCTGGGACGTGTTAGTAAGGTTACACTACTTTCACATAAAGGAAGAGATCATGATAGTGAACAGAGCACGAAACAAAGCAGACTTACCGATGGCCTACCAACCCATCTCAATATACCCCGACATCTCCGCATACATGCTTAAACGCTGGAAGGCATTTACAGAAATTACAACACAACTCTGTCAGCAGCACCTGCAGTACAGATGGGGCTACCCAGTGAAGCTGGTGGTACAGCGAAACGGGAAGACGACCATCCTGCAATCCTGCAGACACCTGATGAAGGAGCCAAACCCCTCCGAAGCTGGGTGTTGAGCCACAACCCATACCACAAGGGACTCAGAGACTCCTTCCAACATGGAGGAAAGCCAATCACTAATTTATTCCCCTGGTAAAGTGAAGTGACGAGCAGTCTGTATGAGTTCAGGCCTGTATGAGTATCTCGCTCTAGATTAATTATTAAGCACTGTGTAGCGGAGAGCTGATTTCCCACAGCTTAGCTCCACTGATGCATTAGAATAATTCAGGAACAAGTAGTAAATCCAAATAGGGTAACAGCCACAATCAGCAAGGCAATCCAATAATATCCCATCACCTTTCCCAATCACTGGATGACACACAGGATCAGGAGTAGAACTGAGGTTTAATGACACAATTCCTGCTTTTATGAGATTCTCCCATGCAAGGGAGGCACCCAACATAATCAATACAGTAACCAATCACATAGACGTTACCTCCCACACATC